AGAATAGAATAGAATAGAATAGAATAGAATAGAATAGAATAGAATAGGAATATGGAATATGGAATAAGAATAGAATAGAATAGAATAGCAATTAGAATGGAATAGAATTAGAATTAGAATTAGAATTAGAATTAGAATAGAATAGAATAGAATAGAATAGAATAGAATAGAATAGATTTCTTTATTGGCCAAGTGTGATTGGACACACAAGGAATTTGTCTTTGGTGCATAAGCTCTCAGTGTACATAAAAGAAAAGATACATTCATCAAGAATCATCAGGTCCAACACTTAATATAGTCATAGGGTACAGTAAGCAATCCAATCATACTAGGAAACAGTCAATATAAATCGTAAGGATACAAGCGACAAAGTTACAGTCCTACAGTCACAAGTGGGAGGGAATGGGTGATAAGGAGTGAGGAGAAGATTAATAGTAATAGCAGTGCAGACTTTGTAAATAGTTGGACAGTGTTGAGGGAATTATTTGTTTAGCAGAGTGATGGCGTTCAGGGAAAAACTCCCTTGTGTCTAGTTGTTCTGGTGTGCAGAGCTCTATAGTGTCGTTTTGAGGGAAGGAGTTGAAATAGTTTATGTCCAGGATGTGTGAGGGGTCTGTAGATATTTTCCCGACCCTCTTTTTGACTCATGCAGGATACAGATCCTCCATGGAAGGCAGGTTGGTAGCAATTGCTATTTTCTGCAGTCCTATTATACAGATGCATTTTTATATCGATATGCAGAGAGATTGTACCCAAAAACCAGATCCTATTAATCAATTGCAATATGTTTTATTGATTTATGTTCTTTCTCCACGAGAAAATGTTGCTCCGCTTAACGATTGTTCAAGGGTCACGAGCCAAGCCAATAAGGAAGTAACTAAGGAAGAAAATGGCAACCGATTTAAACGTTTAATGTCATTTACATAATAAATGTGCAGTGATTGATTTTTGGCACGCCCTTCTTCCTGGAGAAAGTCTATCCAGTGGCTCATGCTTGGCACCAACTTTATGGCTTAACTGATCAACACATCGATAAATTTTCTTCTTTTCTCTGTTTTACTGGAATCTCTATGAGACAGGGAACGGTTTATAGCAGAGGGGAAGCTGGGATACCTTCAAAAATGGTGTGTGTGTGTGTGTGACACCAGTTCTCAGACTTCTCTTGGAAAGGCTGCAATTTCCCTGTTCGTGCTGCGTTTCTTTGTTTTAAAAAAAACAACTGCCAAGACATTTGAGCTGGTGTAAAAAAACAAACAAACAATCCCGTTGGAAGATATGAAGAACCGATGGACTGTTGCACAACTGGCACTCCCTTCTGCAACTTTTGTAAGTGCCATAAAAAAGAAGGACACATGAATAAAAATTGCACCAGTATTCTTGATAGAACGTAGAATAACAGGGTTGGAAGGGAGTTTGGAAACCCTATACTATCCCAGACATATGGCTATCCAGCTTCTTCTTGAAAATATATATTCTTATACGTTTATAGAGAACAGAATAGAATAGCAGAGCTGTTATTTCGTTTCTTCTGGTTTGAAGCAATCAATTCAATCAGCCAGAGATTTAATTTGGAAGTAAGGAGAAACTTTCTGACAATGAAAACAATCAACCCCATGGAACAGAAGTTGCCTTTGGAAGTTGTGGGAGCTTCATCATTGGAGGCTTTCAAGGACTCCCATCTGTCAGAAATGGTGTAGGGTCTCCTGCTTGGGCAGGGGGTTGGACTAGACGACCTACAAGGTCCCTTCCGACTCTGATTATCTGTAATCTGTAATCATTCAAGGCAGCTGCTTTTCATTACGTCCTCCTCCTTAATTATGATATAGTGATGGTTCTTTCAACCAGCGCTCCTTTGTGAATATGGGGGATATGGGGAATACCCCCTCCCATGTCAATTCTGTCAGTCTTTTTAAAATAAATTATACGAACGTACAATCAAACGAGGAAACTGACATTTGCAATTAACACAAGACAAGACGCTGGGCCTAAAATGATAACGCTGGATTGTGGGGAAAGATTGCGTTCACTCAACGTTGTCAAAACTCAAACCAATGGCAGGATCCCGCCCTAACGTGCAGAGTTTCCCAACAAACACAAGGTTTAAAAAAAAAGAGGGGGGGGAAATGAGTTACTGTGCCACACGTGTTTTCAAAGAAAAGTTATGCTAAGCTGGCATCACTCCTGTTTCTGCCCCCGCTATCCAGAGTTGACTGGAAAGGTAATTAAATCATAAAAACATTATATATATTATAATTCACTGTGCTATTTGTGGGGTGTTTTTTCCCCCCAGCAATTGTGTTCTGAATGAACACCTGACACAATTTCTTTTTGAAAATGCCATATGAGCATTTCAGTTGCCATTTGTTCTCCCCAAATGAAATTTATCTGGTGCAGCATTGAGGGCAAAGAAGAGGGAAGAGACTGCAGGTAGGAAATATTATAATATTTGCATTGCATTGGAACCCACGCCTGGATCAAAAATTGGTCTATAATACTATAATATTAGGCATAACAGCTGAATTACTGGCTGGTTCTTAATTTTACTGCTTTGCTTAGCCGTGCAAGCATTTCTTCTGATTGCTTGGTGGTTTCTTTTTTGGCCAGCCAGCAAAATATCTTTATTCCTTCCTGCATTTCGCAATGCAGCCCCATTACATATTTTACAAGCCACAGTTACAGGAAAGTCACCGTGATATTTATCTGTCCATATAATTTTAGTTATCCATCAGGGGAACAGGGAGAAATGATAGTGGCTGGCAAAAACGGGAGCTGAAGGTAAGTGTACAAAGCAACGTAAGGTTTTAAAGTACACATTTAAATAATGTTAGGTTTATTTCCCTGCTTAGATTACTAGCCTTCTGGCCATGGCAAAGGCCATGTTAAATATCTGTTGGTCTGATCCCCCCAAATATGGGTCAGACAACACAATAAACAGACAGGGAAATACATATTTTCTTCCGAATGTTTTTCCCCACAAATGTAGGATCTAATTTTTTTTTTCCAGATCAAGTGTTGTTCCATTGGTTGCGTCCGAAAAGCTTGTTGTTCAAGAGAGAGTCACTGACCCAAAGTCACCCAGCAGGCTTTCATGCTTAAGGCAAGCAAAACATTTATTTTTCTTCTGTTTCTCTTCTCTGACTCCCAATTCGGACAATTCCCAGACAGCCAGGTTGAAAAAAACAAGGGAGGAACCGCATGATGCATGGTAGCTCTGTAGCTCTGTCTTCTTTTTTTTCTGTTCATTTTTCCACTTTTAATTCAACATCTTTGGAGAACGAATCTGTTGAACTCAACACGTGGTGCTTTAACAAAAGGGACCTGGATTTTCTTATGGTTCCACCCCCCCCTTAAAGACGTTTCGCTTCTCATCCAAAGAAGCTTCTTCGGTTCCGACTGAATGATGAGGGAACACGAGGGTTTAAATTAAGTTTAATGAAACTGATTACAATGGATGAAATTGAATTTAAATTTAAGGATCCACCCTGCAGTCAGAAGTGAGGAAACTTCTTGGATGAGAAGTAAAACGTCTTCAAGGAAGAAGAAGAAGAAAAAAAACCCAAGAAAGTCCAGCTGCCTTTTGGGACAACTATGAATGATGGAGAATCTCCATCAGAGAGAACAAATCAAGAGTTGACATAGTGCAATATTAGTTCCATATTATTATTTTTTGAAACTCACTGTAGGCAAGAGATTAGAGACAAGGCTCTTCAACTTTTGCTAAACTTTTGAAACTTTCAGGGTAAAATTTGTGGACGTGGAAGATGGATGGCTTTCTAGTTTATTCGCAAGCTGTGAGTGCACAATCTTGGTCACCAGGCCAACACAGCTATTTTGCTCCATTGTGTTGTTTTCCTTCACACTCACCATCCTTGCAGCGCCCAGAACTCTTGTTATGAAAAGGGGGATACATTCCTCTGGTAAATTCCTTATCCAATTCGGTTCCAAGCTTCCAGCATTATCTTATCGTGGCCGTTCCCAGCTGTGAGGGCACCGGGGCGCTGTGGCAATTTGGCCTGAAGGCCACCGGAATTCTTTTAAGCCACCAGAATAACGTTCTCCAGTTTGCAAGGCCAACAATTGGATGGACGGCGTCTTTCAACATCACCCTCCCATCACTGATTTGACAGGAAGCTGCTCCATGGAAGAGGGAATCCTGGGGTTTGAAGTTCGCACGGGTTGATGTTTCCAAGGTTGAGAGGAAAAAAAAGAGTATTTTTCTCAAGACCTACTTACACCCCTTCAGAAGTTGTGGGAGCTTCATCCCTGGAGGCTTTCAAGAAGAGACTGGACTGCCACCTGTCAGAAATGGGGTAGGGTCTGCTGCTTGGGCAGAGGAGGGTTGGACTAGATGACCTACAAGGTCCCTTCCAACTTGGTTAATCTAATCTAAAATGGCTAGATACTTAGAGAATATTCCCTTTCCCCTTAGGAAGCTTTTCCAGTAGCCGAATTCCCAGATTTGAACCGTAAGCCTTTTGCTTACCTTTCTTACCTTTCGATTTTGCGCTGCCGCCCGAGAAAGAAATTTTGGGGTGTGGAAGACTCATAATCACTAACTGCCTCTTAGGATCTATTAGAAAGTTCATTAGGTTGCCTTCAGAAGTTGTGGGAGCTTCATCCCTGGAGGCTTTCAAGAAGAGACTGGACTGCCACCTGTCAGAAATGGTGTAGGGTCTCCTGCTAGGGTGGAGGGGTGGGTTGGACTAGATGACCTACAAGGTCCCTTCCGACTCGGTTCATCTACCTATCTATCTCTTCCTGCTGGGCTCCACTGTCAGTGCCACGATTGCTCTTTTCTTGCCCCTGCCAGTTTCAGCAGACAACACCCCCTTTTTTGCCCAATTCTAGTGTGGTAGGAGAGGGAAGAGAAGGAAAACAAAACCAAAAACCGGATCTGATTCTTCCTGGATGGCGTGAGCTGATAAAAGAACTTGGTTCGAGTTCCGCTATCATCAAAGCTTGTGCCCCAGACTGCATCTTGTGGCGGGAGGGAAGGGGGGGGCTGTTTCTGCTGACCCAAGAAATATTCCCCAGGCCCGGTTCTGCAAAGCCCAGCGTCAACCTGAGCCAAGAGCAGCTGCCCAACAGCCCCTTCTGCGATCGGGGGGAGTGAGGAGAGGGATGGACCTGCATTACCTGTGACTCGGTTTAGACAGATAATACAGATCGACAGAGTTGGAAGGGACCTTGGAGGTCATCTAGTCCAACTTCCTCCCCACCCTACACCATTTCTGACAGAGGGCAGTCCAGTCTCTTCTGGAAAGCGCCCACAATTTCTGAAGGCAACTTCTGTCCCACTGGCTGAGGGTTCTCACTGTCAAGGAAAATTCTCCTTATTTCCAGGTTGAATCTCTCCTTGTATTATTATTTATGTATTATTTATGTACGGTTTGGGAGCTTTGCGGGCAAGAGGCACTTTGGGTTAGGGTTAGCCACACAAATTAAGAGCCGAAATAGAAGTAAAAAGACCCAGAGAAGGGGTTTTGAAAGTGAATCCAGGGAAAGCTGAGGATCTAATAAGGGGAGGATGTCCTCACAACACTAGGATTTGGTTCCAGAGAGGATTATAGGATACTAGACGGACTTTAAAGGGAATGAAAGACAGCAGGGAATGCCATAAAATCAACAGATTGTTCATTTATATCAAGAGAAGATCAAGAGAGTGTTACTTTTTTCTATGTCAAGGACCATATCCAAGCGTGAAAAGAGTATGCAGGAAGCTGTTACCCCCAAAATTATGTGTGGGGGGCCAGGACCAAAATTATTACTCTTCCTTCCAATTCACCTACACCTGTTATTAAAATTAAGAAAATGCAATTACTCTGGCTGTGTATTTAAGTCATTTCCCTCTCCCTGCCACAGTAAATATTGTTATTTGGACAATAACTTAGGGGCGTCTTCATCGTAAGTATGAACCAGTTGCCAACCGGCCAAATTTTGATAACGGGGATGCTGCAAAGGCTGTAAGTGTGAAAACGGTCATAAGTCACTTTTTACAATGCCGTTGCAACATTGAGCGGCCACTAAGTGAACCTTTGTCGATCGAGGAATGCCTGTAATTTCCCCGTTATTGTGAACCTCGTGCGAGAAAGCTTCCTTTCCACCCCCCCAGGAGTCTGCAGTCCTTTCCTAATTCTCCTCCTTCTTTGGATCCCTGAAGACAAGATCCTTAAAACTTAAAAAAAAAAAATGAAAAGTTTATCAGAAGCCGGGCCAAGAAAAAAAACACGTTATCGCCTTACCTCATCTCAAAACCTTGCTCTCTCTCTCTCCTTCTTGGGTTTCAAGGCTCTCCCAAGGAAGACAAGACTTCAAAAGGGCTGGCTTCTCAGAAGGAAAAAAGAGAAGAAGGAGAAGGAGAAGGGGAAGGAGGAGGTGGTAAGCCTGCCCTCTTCCCTGCAAAGAGAAAGAAGACAATACAGGGTTTTAAAAATGAAAGATTCCCGAACTTCCTCGTGTTCCCAGCTAAAGTGAACGGGTTAGGCAAGCAAGAAACGGCATGCGAGAAATACCGAATGGACAAGGCATCTCAGCGGGGATGCTGTCTTCACAGTCTCATTTGCTATCAGATCTGGAGCAGAGGAAGAGAGAGAGAGGGAGACAGAGAGAGAGAGAGAGACTGAGAGAGAGAGACAGAGAGAGAGAGAGAGACAGAGAGGCACAAGGTAAATGCTGTTGCAACCTTCAAAGCTGCAGAACCGTTCCTGTAGGAGCTTGTTGGAAGTTGCCCAACTCGCTTTGGCTTCAAAGCCAGGAAGGAGCCCTACGAGACTTCGGAGACTGAGGAAGAGGAGTGGGGAAAGGAAGGAAGGAGCGTACCTCAACTCTCTTCGCTCTTCCCTTTGGACAGCTGCGACGTCTCGCGTTCCCCCCGCACCCTTCTCGCCGTCGGCGTGCCCGGTTTCTCCCATGCAGGAATCTCCAAAAGGCACGGGGGCCCCTCCCACGTACACGCTTTACATAATGACGGGGCCCGGAGATTACAGAGCGGTGAAGGGGAGGGCGGGGGGGGGGGGGCTGTTTCAGCCTCCTTGTCCCAGCTCCAAGGTAACAAGTTCAAAGGGAGGAGGCCCCAAAGTGTGCTGGGAAGCCCGCTGGCCTAAGACGGAGGACTTTCCTGCTGCTGCTGCTGGTTGTTGTTGCTGTTGTTGTTGTTCAAACCACAGACACACGCACACACACGCACACATGCCAAAGAAACGGAAGGGAACTTGTTCTTCAGGTTGGAAACGGGAAAGAAATCGGTTGACGGCTGTGTTTGTACACTCCCTGTTTCTCTTGAAGGGACCGCTGATAGGGAAAGGTAGGCTGGACGAAACGTACCTGCGGAACATAGGTGAGTCTGGTTAATGATTAGCAAGCGAGTCGAGTGGATCTCTACTGGCTTCTGGGATGCCTCATCCTGAAACCTGATTGCCTGGTGCAGGTAATGACAAAGGTCTCCGAATCTGTCAGAGGGAGAAGAGGATGCAGTAAGAGAAGGGGGGTTGGTCTAGAAGACCTCCCAGCTCCCTTCCAGCTCTAGGAGTCCAGGATCCCACGCCAAGGTTTAGTCTGTGATGCCTGCAAAGGGTATCTTTGGCGGGTCTGAGCACAGAGGCGGTAGGGACCTCAACTTTTGATCACCTCTGGCCAGCACCCAGCCAACGTCCTCCACAGTGATGGGAATTATAACACTCCAAGGTCAAATTTCTCAACTGTAATGGGTGCAAGCCTTGGTGCAAATGCTCTCGGTGTATATACTTATATGTTTATACGTCATGTTCATACTTACACTTGTTTTCTCATACCTGCTTGACAAACCAAATTAAATAAATAAATAAAATAAATAAATAAACAATTTAAAGAAAAAGGACCACCTGGATAAAAGAAAAGTACACGAAGCACACCCAAGTTTAGGTCTTTCCTCCCGAGTTCCCTGTGCAACACGTATTCAAGATACAAAGAGGGGCAGAATGGTGAGTGGAGAGAAGAAGAA